CCTGCTGAAGGCTTGGCAATACCACACAGTTCATGTAGCAGTGCAGCACTCATTGTGGTAGCACACTTTAAGGATCCTGAACTCATAAAGGGAAAAGGGAGAGGTGGAAGGTCAGAAGTTCAGAAGTCTTGGTATGAAACCTGTTCTAGCTGCCATTTTCTGAACAGTAGCTCTGCAGATGTTTGAAGTGTCGTTATATTTTTGCAGATCCCAGTGACTAGCCATGTGGCTCCCCAACCCATTTAAGAGCATGTATAAATATGTGCCAGTTTCTTTGCATGTATTCCGTGATACATGGGAGGTTTTAATAATCTACACATAGTAAGTGACAGGACAGGGTACACTGAGTGTAGCATTAGCTGAAAATTGTTATATGGTTTCTGGGTCAGTCTTAACTCTTGTTTGCTTTATCACAGAAAGTCTCTTCAACTGTTCATGTAGAGGCATGTGCTTGTGGCTATCTCATCTTGCACTGTGAACATTACAGTGCCCAATTTTGTCTTTTTGAGTGTGACCCTGACTTGAGCAGATTTTATTCCTCATTAAAAGAAGCTGGACTAGTGCAGTGATGTTTATGACTACAAATAGATGAGGTTGCTGAGAAGACGATATTTTTTCTGGGATTTATAGGCACAGTGACAAAGAACATACTAACCTCTATCTGGAGAGGTAAATGGTGCATTTCTTACTTTGTTTTTTTAAAGAAGTGCTAAACATTCTTTTTTAAGAAAACATATTTCTTAATATATGCATTACCTTGAGCAGAGTATGAAATGATAGCGTGCATGGAGTCATACTGGTTGTCTTGTCTGCCACTGGTTTATGTGAAAAATGGGTAGACACATAGATAGGGCTCTCTGGACCATGTTAAGAAGTTTGGACAATGAATGGTGGTTGAACTTCAAACTTTCTGCAGAGAAATACTTTAAAAGTTTATCTCTCTATAGACAATCCATCTTTATTTTGTTAAGGTGGAGAGAAGCTTGATATCTAACACAGTCAAAAGGCATGTGCACAGTTCCCAGATGCAGCTGTCAAACTTGTATGAGCCTACAGGTAGACAATAGATAGTATTTACAGACCATAAAGTGACTTGAAGAAAAATGTGACAGAACACACACAGAAAATGAAGGCAACTCTGTCACCACCCTCACTTCAGCCCTCTTAACGTAGGGGGTTGGACATCTAAAACTGATTGAGCCACATAAGTTGTCCTTGTGGCTGGGCAGAAAAAAAAACCTCATGGCTCCTACGTATGGAGTAGATTTGGCCATGCAGTGTGGAACTGCAGTGTGGATCCACCACTCTGCAGCAGCCCCATTGCTTCCCAGG